GCCATGATGCCGTCTGCCAGGTACAGATGCAAACTCTGCTAGATCTGGTTCTCAGCCCGCTCCAGCACTACAAAGCTCTCCTGAGAGACCTTGTAGCCTTCCTCCTGTCCCACCTTAACAGGCTAACCCTCAACCCAAAAAGATCTCTAAGGGGAAGCAGCCTTTCTAACTGCCTGTTCCTTTGGGAAGAAATAGGTAGAGAGGGTGTGAGCTGAGGTCGAGAGATCTCCTCAATGTTTCTTAGGACCGTGCCTGCATAGATGACTGTTGGCAGGAGAATCTCCTGGCAGCACCACGCTGAACTGGCTGTGGAGCTGGTTGGCATAATATGAAGTGGCAAGAAGTTTAAAAAAATAAAATAAGATCTGAAGACAGCACACATCCAGGTAAGGGTAGGAACCAGCCTGGAGGAGGCTGTGACCCTCTGTGCTCAGGGCAGCGATGTGCTGCTAACCCTCTAGGTCACCTCAGCATCCAAGGCCACCAAGGACACGAGGGAGGGATCTGTGCTGCAGGCTGGATTACTACCCTTCCTTATTACCCTCGCTTCATCACACAGAGGAGCTGATGAAAGTCACTCCTGGTGCAGCTGCAGAGCCCAGCTCCAGTGAGTCTCCAGCTCTGGACACCCAGCAGAGGTGGGCAGCAGAAGACGGAGAGGAACAAGAGCACATGGGCTCAGTCGAATGTGCAAAGACTGGTCCATACCATGACAACATCTGCCAGACAGGAGACAGCCTCAGCAGCACAAGGTGGCCAGAGCACTCCACTCCTCCCTAGCCCTCTAAATGGCACCTGTATTTGTGTGTGTGTGTGGCCATGACCCCTCTACACCTCTTTCCAGGTAAAGCAGTCACCACAAAGATGCTTTCAAAACCAGCTGTCTGTATTGTGGCTACAAACACTGCTAACTTGCCTGTTAACTTCCTCTTCAAGCAAGCACAATACACCATGCTCCTCCTGGTAGTCATACCCTCAGCACACCCCCCTGACACCAAAAAGTCCCGCTGCATGGCACAGGACAGCATTTTCCCTCCTAGGGAAGTTCTGCTTTGACAGAACGGAGAGAAGCCAGTCTGCCTACCTGGCCCAGGGACCACGCACAGTGTCCATCAAAGTCACACCTGCACGTGCAATCCTTCGAGCAAACTGATAGAAATCTTGGGCTTCTAGAAACGGAAGAGAAAATCAAACTTGTCCCTAATGTATTTTCCAACCCTGAGAACAAATTTACATAACTTTACCAATGACATTTTCAAAGTGCATTGTGTAGATCCAGCTCCCTCACACACACACATACACACTTTCTGCGACTGTGTCTCAAGAGAGGAAATGCAGCCACAAAAATCATAGTATGGTTCTGTAAACCCATGACATAAAATAGCCTGCTTCATTTTGCCCTTCAAATGTCCCCTCTCAAAATGCTGACATTTTCCTCTCCCTGGAATAATGCAGAAAAATCACAGGTATATGACACTCACCGAGAGCAACAGGACAAATGGGCCCAGAGAGAAAAAATACACAACTGAAACGTACTTTTCTGAAACCTCACTACAAGTGAGAGAATCAGAAGAAAAATAAAACACACGATGAGCCACACATTTGTTCTGGGCGATGAATTCTCACATTCAAGGTGTGTCCGTTACCTTCTCCATTTAAAAATTACAGTTGGCAGAGAAATAACATAGGCTGGCCACCATTGTTCCTAACCCAGTGTTCAACACTGAACAGTTACCTAACTCTTGCATTGAAAATACAAATAAACACCTGCCAGTTCCCAATACATGACACAAACATGCTGGAAGTGGAATGGAGCGTCCAAATACAAGGCACTTGGAGGGTGAAGGAAATCACATTTTTACATGACACAAAGAAATGTCTAAATAATCTTGAGAAGGCTACAGGCAGAGCCCTTTTAGACAGTTTGAGATCATAAATGCTACTGCACTGGCCAGGAAAAGAGATTCTTCAGCCAAGCTCAGCACAGTTCCTATAGGCAGATTTTAAAACAAGCTTAGAGCAGGATTCTCAGGCACTAAGAAACCTTAAGCAGAGCTTTAAAAAAATCTCAGCTCCCTAAGTCCATTCAGGATGCTGAGCTCTTTGGAAAAACACATCTACAGACTGCATGGGTAGAGGAAGAGGAGCAACTGAAAACTCTCATCCCACATTTTGAGCTGCTTAACACCGAGTTAGTCTGGAAATGTATAATCTTAGCCTTCCTGTCCCTTTAGCAAAGGTCACCTTAGCATAAATCCTACCTGCCTGGCAAGAGGGAAACAAACCCCAGCAAAGGTCAGTTCAGATAGCACTGCCCTTTGTACACCAGCTGGTAACCAGCTGATCACCTAAATAAACAGCTTCCTGTTTTAGGCAATGATTCCTGAGGAGGAAAAACAATACCATCCTATACAGCCATTTCTTACGGAAAGAATCCCTGGCTAAATAGGGCATTCTTTTTCCACACTCCTGATAAAGAAGTGACCATGATAGTTGCATGTGATCTGGGTACATTCTCAGGGCATCTGCTATGTCCTGGGCACGTCGCCACTTCTTCTTCCACCTGCTGCTCTTCATGACACGCAGGTGTCTCGCACAAACCAGTCAGCTGGTTAAAAAAGGACATTCTAACCAGAAGCCAGGCGAGCAGCACCTAGTATGGCACCCTACAAAGCATAATCTCTGTGTTTCGACATACTTTTCCCCTTTAACATGTGCTTTCTCCACAGCTGTCTCTGAATTTAGTTTGAACGAAAGAGGAAGAAAAGGAAAATTGAAAATGCCACTTATTTCCCCCAAAATGTTTGCTTTCCAGGTCCACTTTAAACCCTTCCCACAGAGCAGGTAGGAATGTGGGGACAGGGTCCCCAAGGGAAGAACACAGTCCCCTTAGCTGGAGCAGCCTGGAGAGGAGGGAGAGCTGAATTCAGGAGCGCAGACGAGCAGACGTGCCCATGCAACATGCCATCGCGAAGTCAGCCTGGAAATGAATTTATGAACCGGGCTGCAGCTGACTCACAGCACGAATGTCTTTGCGCCACAGCACTTCACTGCATCTGTGCTGGTGCGCTGCCCGCAGAAGGCGGGAGGGAGCCTCAACTCACACCTCTGACGTGACTGCTGCTGTGCCGATCCCTTCAATTACCGGGCAGCAACCAAGCAGGGAGGAGTCTCGAATTTGGAAGGAATTTGAGTCAGCATCTCCGAAAACACCAGGTCATATGTTGTGATCCCAGGGACTATTGAATAAATCAGAAATATTGTTGCTGATGACTTTGGCTGTGGAAAGACACCAGCAATTATACCAACAGTCCTACCAGGGCTTCTATCACACTAGCTTGGAGTTTTAGTCAGCTATGACTAAACCACCACAATTTTTGCTGGCAAAGGATAAAGTCAGTTCTATAAAGCTTGAAAAGGAAAGAGGAAAGTGAAAATTAATATCTAAGCGGTGGTTTGCATGTCTCAGAGAGCCAAACGCAGCAGATTTCAGGAAAGGAAACCAATTTCTACCAAGAGTTAACAGAGGAAGTGTTGAGTCTCGCAATTTATGCTCAGCAATGTGTTGGCAGCAGACAGCCCTGATAGGGCTGGGATTTTCCCATGTTCATTTCTGCACTGGCTAAGGCTGGTAAGCTTCTGCAGAGATAAATTCTCTGAAGGCCCAAGTTGGAACTCAGCAGCAGTGGCCCACGTCCGCCACGTGATGCCTCTGCCTTGCACAATCCTTTCTAGGAGCAGCAGGTCCGGGAACAGGGAGGAAAACGTGTCAAAGCTGCCTCGGCACAGTGACATCCACAGAACAAGGAAGGGAAAACACGCAGCAAAGCTGCATAGGGAACTTCCCATATGGGGACATGGAAAAAACGTCACGAGAGAATGTCAGAGATCATAATCTGAGTTCCTATAGCCAGAAACATTCCACACCCACGACTGATGTGAGTCTACCACCTCCCATAAAAACTGGGTTCCCCTTTTGTCCTCCTCCTCTCTTTTCCAGGTAACAAGAGCTCTGCGACAACTCCCCCGTCCACCGGAGCAGCCCGGGGGTGCCTCCTCACCTTTTTCCAGTGAAGAACTTATCTCCAAACTGCTCTGTTGTCCCATGCAGCCTTGGGGATCTTAGTATTCAGTTAGTGACAATTCTCACGTCCGAAGCTAAGCCAGCAGGACACCTTATTGAGGCCACTAAATGAGCTCCAGCACCCAAGAGCAGATGACAGAGGGGGTACGGCTGAGCGTGAGGCACTCTGGCACCTGGCCATTTCATGAGGCGCGAAGAGAAGAAACCACCACTTACCAGAAGAAACCTCCCAAAAGAAGCCAAGCCCTACACACGACCAGCCCTGCAACGGAACGGTGCTGCCAGGGCATACCGGGACTCATAACATCATCTTGGTGCCCTATGGCCTAAAGCTAAAATAAGCACAGCTGGGCAGCAGCTACCAACAGCCTTGGCACCTGCGGGAATTGGCCTAGAGATGAACGGAAACATCCCAGGAGAATCATTTCTTCTATGTTCGGTATCTGTGTCTTTTTAGCAAGGGCTGCTCAGCCAAATTATTGAATCCACTGAAACAAACCCAGCACGGTGCTGCAGAGGATGGGAAAAGCCCAAAGCCGAAAACCACAGCCCAAACCCACCGCGGACAACCTTCTCCTGTATAATAAACCAGAAACGTGCTGCGGCTTCCCGGGCACACCGCTTCCCCTCCGCGGGCCGCCCGGCCTGCACTCGAGCTGCTCAAGCGCCTCAGCCCTCGCCCGAGGCCCAGGCGCTCACCCCGAGGCCTGACAACCGCGACCACCGGCCCCCCC